CACTCTGTCCTCCTACCTGAGACACCCTGTTGTCCTACCTGAGACACTCTGTCCTACCTGAGACACCCTGTCCTCCTACCTGAGACACTCTGTCCTACCTGAGACACCCTGTCCTCCTACCTGAGACACTCTGTTCTAACTGCTGCCTCTGACTCTCTGTATCCAGCTCCTACATCAACAGATGTGTTTTACTGCCACCTGAATTCAGTCAGCTTTAAAAAGTCAAGCAAATCATGTGTAAATTATGAAGATAGCAGATTAAATTAGAGAAATAATCTGTGATTTATGAATGTAAATTATAACAGGGAATCAATAAATATCATCAGAGTGGGCCTGGACTCAATCTTAGCATTAAAAAACAGTTTAACTGATAAAAAAAACCTCAATAATAGATAATGTCATCACTAAGTGATTGCTAATGTTAGCTGATAGATAACTAGCAGCAAGCTAACTTTTYATAAGAAAAATAASAGTCCTGTCCWACATTTTGACTTATTTTTGGTCCTTTGTAAAGAATAAAGTTTTTCCAAGAGCTGGACGTTATCAGACCCTTACCTGTTCCAGTGGCTCTGAAGCTCTGACCACCATGCTGTTTTACAGCAGGCAGCTGGAATAAAATGCAAGGCTTGGTTAAAAACCTAGTCATGCAAGAAACAAAYCATTYATTCAAAGTGCRACAASAAATCTACAAAAAGTGTGGGGGAAAAAAAAAAGAAGAGGCAGGAATGATTCAGTCAATATTCAGCCTGAATAAACTGTGATTGTGTGCAAAAAATACCAGCAAACCTCTAAAACAATGCTTTAAAGAAACATGAGAAAAGGATAAAGTAACTTTGTGCATATCTGTTGCAGATGCTTCTGCATGATTTTGAATTTTTTGCAGCCTTATTTATGCAATATCTGTGATAAACCAGCAGAATTTCTGTCGTGCATCTTTTCCGATTAGTACTCTGTTTTAAACTTACCACAAAATACAGTAATGAAATCAAATGTGGCTGCCTTGTTAAGAAAAGAAGACACGCGCCGCGCCCCCCACCCCCCCCCCCGCGTGTTAACTCGGCTTGTCAGGATCAAGGCTTTGTCTTTGACTTGCCCTTCAAAGAGATTAAGATGTTTTTGCATTCATCTTAATAGGAGATTTTCATGTGTTTTACATGTTGAGGATAAAGTGTTCTYGGATAGATAAATGCAACACATGCACAGGTTTTCAGGGAAAACYKTTTGCTTCAAGACACCTGATTAACGCAATCAAKAGCTCATAGTTTGTGCGAGAAACAACCAAATTTCCATATATTAGAGCTCATCGGTCATCAGGTAAGTGTCTTCTATGATTGCTGATATTACCCAAAAACCTCTGTTTTACCAGCCCAAAGCTGAGAGGCTGTAACCTTTCCTAGAATAATCTCAACATCTGCAGAAAATATTTTGGGGCTGGCATGTTTGAGCTGCAGGATATATATTTACTGCCACTTTYAATCAATGCTGGGGAGCTGTGTTGGTTAGTTAGCAGGGAGATCTTTGGACAGAAATGTGTCTTTATCTGGGTTTCTTCTTAAACCATCTCTGAGGTGACGTGACTTCCAGCTGATCTACCTCAAAAAGTTTCACTAAATTGTTATTTTTTATGAACTAATAAAACAAACATAAACTAAATGAAATATATATTTCCATGGCATTTAGGGGTTGAAATGACAGTAAGTTATCTTTTAAAACAACATGGGGTTTATGAGGGGGTCCCTGGAAATTCTTTGCCCTCGTAAGGGGTCCCCAGATCCAAAAAGTTTGAGTTTCCCTGTCCTAGGTTAAGAAGCTTTACAAGTGCAGGACAGGGAAGGGTGTTGCCCAAACTCTGTAGGATTAAATGTACTTACCGGTAAAATTAATACTCAAAAACAAAAAGTCCAGAGGTTTAGTCAAATTATCAAAAAGATGGAGAAAACCTATCAATATGACTAATTTTAAACGCTTCTCATAATCAGTAACGACCTGACTCAGCACGTCTTTTCTGTCGTTGACGTCTGCTGTTCAGAAAAAAATTGATGCTCATTCAGAGACGCTGCAGCTGTGTGAGTGAGCTCAATAACATCAAAGTAGAAGGTGAAAAAAAAGGTCTAAGTTTTATTTAATGGAATTTCTTGTATTTTTTACACTAACTGTTATTCGAGAGGTTTAGAATGAATATTTAAAATCAAATCAATTTTGTAAATATATTTGTTTTCCCTCATTACAGCCATGGAGAGGATCACATGTTTAGTTTTTCTTACAGGTTAGTGTTTTTTTTTTCTTTTCAAAATAAAACAGCTGTAAGAAGTCAGATCTGTTCAAAGTGCAACGTGTAGAAAATGAGATGAATTAGGCGTCATCATTATGTTTTTCTCCACAGGACTWTGCRTTCTCTCTATCAGAGCCACCAGGTTTGTTTTATTTTTTGCTCCAAAGTCTTGGGGTGAGGCTCAGAGCCTGTGCAGGAAGCAGTGCATCGACCTGGCCACCTTCAGTTACCTGGAGGACATGGATAACATTCTTTCATTTATCGAGGGCAAGTATGATGACGCCATCTGGTTTGGGCTTTGGAAAGGGCAGACCAGGAGCTGGCACTGGTCTCTGACCGCCGAAGATTTCTACCAGGGAGGAGAAGAAAACTATTTTACTTTTTTATGGCTCSAAMAACCAACTTACCACTGTGGGACTTATAAAAACGGATATCTGGGTGCCATTCCCTGTTCCTCTGCTCTACCTTCWGTTTRYTTTGATGGTGAGAAGTATTTTTGATTCACAGACWATTTAAAATATAATTAAAATTTCTGACATTGATGCATTCTTCAGTCTGATCATTTAAAACCTTTTCTAAATTTGTTTCATTTTTGTGACAAAACCACAAAACCACATGTTCTTAATCATTTTCATAAACTAAGAAGATCGTTCCTATTGAAAATGATACTTTGTTTTAGCAATTTCAAAATAAAAGCTGTGTCTCACAAGGCAAATAACTCAATAAAATATTAAAGTAGTATTAAAGTAAAAGTATTTTGCAAAGAGTAGAGAAACAAATAACCATCAGTGTCAAAGGTTTTTTCTGTTTTCCTTTTAAAATCTGCAGGTTGATTCTGAAAGTGAATGAGTTGATGCTTGTAGTTTCAATAAAATCTGTGCGGTGTCGTGAAATATTTGACAAATGAACACAGGAAGTTATCTAACAATTAGTTTTTCAAATACCAGAGAGAACCCACATTGTAACCAATAAACAAGACTGATTTTTGTTTTTATGTTCTCAGCAACAAAAGCAGGAATGGAGCAGTACGTTCTGAACGAAGCAGGACTGAGCTGGACTTCTGCTCAGGCCTTCTGCAGAACCTCCTACACAGACCTGACCAGTGTGAGGAATGAGGTGGAGGCCGCCATGATCCACAGCTTACTGGGTGGAATGGAGGTGTGGGTCGGTCTCTTCAGAGACCCCTGGGTCTGGTCGGACCAGGCGGACTCCTCTCTGAGGTTCTGGCCGGCGGATCAGCAGGTGTGGAGCGAGGATGTTCAGGACTGCGGGGCTCTGCTGAAGACTGAATCTGGTCGCTGGGGGGGCCGGAACTGCTCGGAGCAACACCCCTTCTTCTGCTCGTGCAAAAACACAGGTTCTGACTGATTTAGTTTTTAGTTTTTTACATTTTTCTTTTTTTTTCCTTGCATACTTTGTATTAATAAGTCTACTCATGAATCAAATGTTTGGCTCGTTCAGGACATATGTCACTTTTAGTTTTTGTAACTTTAAAAAATTTCTAAATATTTCACTTCATATGCTATCTTTAGCTTCTTGCTAGCCTTTTGCTACTTTCAGGTTTAGCTAATGTTTCGCAACTTTTAGCTTTAGCTTTTTAGGTCATGTTTACAAGTTTTAGTTTTAGCTAAACTTATGCTGCTTTAATCAGTGAATTACTGCTTTTAGTTTCTCTTCCTTCATTTAGCTTTTAGCTGGTCTTTTTTGGACTTTTATAACATTTTGCACATACAAGTGTTTAGTTAGCACTCTGCTCCTTTAAGCTTTTAGCTAATGTTCTGCTTATTTTAGCTTTAAGCTCAGTTGCAGCTTATTAAGCAGTTTTGTTTTAGCTCAGTCTTTGTAATTTCACAGAAAATGCAGTCTAAAATAAAAAATATTTATTGTTGAAATTACACTTCTTTTTTGTAGAGCAGCTGTTTTAACTAAAGCAAAAGTAAAACCTCTAACTTGTGCACGATTCTCTGTGTTTTTCTGTTATAGATACCAAACGGACGTATATCAAAGTGAAAATCAACTTAAAAGATTCAGCTCTGGATCTAAATAATTCTGTCGTGCAAAATAACATCTTGAAGCAGGTAAATCAGTTGTTTTTTCTTATAATGCGAAGTCAGATGCAAGGTAAAAGACAGTTAAATGTTTTATATTATTGCACTAAATTAACTTTTAGAACACCATGGTGTCACATTAAAACATAAAATAAGGAGTAAAGTGAAATTTCTGTGACACGCAGCAGTTTATTTAAAAGAAGCTGATTGGACAAATGTTTGGTTTCAATCAAGTCAGAAAAGAGGAAATTTATAATTAAACTACCGTAACATTAAAATAATGTTTTTTATAATTTTTCAGTGTTGAAGCTCTAAAACCACTCTGAACAGATCATTTATCAGATGTGTTGCTCATTAATGAAACAAACATATTCAATACAAGGTTGTTTTTCTGTCAGGTTTCAGAGATAAATAATGTATTTTTTAAATGTTTTGGCAGATGAAGCTAAAGCAGAAAGAGGATGGGATCACTGTTATGCAGACACAATGGAGAAAACAACCAAATGGAAAAATCTTTGTCAAAGAAGCTCCTGATGATGACTGAGGCTCTGCTGGATTTCATTTTATAGAATAAATAACCTAATTACAGAAAAAAAAAATCCAGTTGTTATCATACCTTTAAAGCTCAGTTAAAAACTTACCTTTTTAAATCTGCATTTGTTTAAATTTGCTCTGTCTATTTTTATTTTATTTTATGTTTGTTTGTGTCTGTTGAAGCACTTTGTGATCCCCATCTTAAAATTTGCTATATAAATGAAGTTTTTACTTACTTACTTACAAAACATAAATCTTAATAGATCTGTTTAAGATGCTTTATTAGTTTAAGTTTTTCTGTCTGCTTGCCACGCCCACCTCACCTGTTCCTCATCACCAGGTAGTCCCAGCTGCAGACCTATCCCCGCTTTCAACACATCCTCAGTCCATTATTATTGACTCTCACACAACTTATACGGTCTTCCTGTTATTCCTCATGATTCCTTTTTTATCTCCTGAGTTTTTAAATCAATATCAATCTCTTTTCAGAAGCATCAGGTCTAACACTTAATCATAATAAATGTGAACTTATGGCCATACATGATTGTAATAT